CGAGATAAAAGTTCATAGACAAGCACAAACTAAATGACCACTCGAATCCAACTCAACCGCAATAAGCTCACTAATGCATTTAGTCAATAGCTCTGAGCATGCCTTGAAGAGGCTAGCTATGTGATCAACACTCAGTCGAAACTAAAGTGAAGACCATGAGATGGACTCATATCGGTACACAACCTCCTCATAGACAAAGCTATAGTACGGGTACCAACATCTCAACCTCAAACAACTAAGTTGGACATCACCATCCTCAGCCAAGGTGCAGGGCCACCAAGACCAAGTCAAGATCAGTGAGAGCTCACTACTCTCATAGAGTCTAACGAAATGCAAGGTGCAAACTATCACCAAGCACAACGCTACAAAAGAAAGGCACAAGGGTCACCTTTCTTAGAAAAGCGCAACAGCCACTTTTCTACACCAACTCTAGACTCTATCCAACTCAATTGTTTTAGCCCCAAAAGTCAGCATCCCTTTCGGGCTGCATCATACAAACTACTTACTAAGATCTAAGCCAATCAAAGTCAACTCCAACCCCTTCACTAGTTTGTACTGGCTTTCAAAAATGGAATGGTTTTCGAGCAAAGTGATCAATAGATCAGCCATTGGAAAAGTCTAAGAAAATTTGTGGAAAATTTTCCATCCTAGAGAAAGAATGACTCTCAATCCAGAATTGCAAACTTTCAAGACTCAACCAACTTCCTCCTACTAACAACTCCACATAGGTTCACCTCAACAAAAATTCTCATGATCCAAAAATATGCTTAAGCATCGAACATCTTTGCCCATCTAACCGATATCCAACACCGTCATCCGCAAAGTGCAAAATGAACATCCAAGGCTTGATCACGAAGACCACATCTTCGGATATCCATATTGCATTAACACTCTTCTTCAATCACCTTCAAGATTCAATGTGAAGTCAAAACACTAACAAGAAAAATGACATGGAAAAATCAAGGTCCAAGGAAAATTCCTCATCACTTGAAATAACAATGCCACCTCCACTAACACAAGTGCTAGTGATGTCAATGCCCCAACTACACATCTTCTCCATCCAACAATCTACTCCAAGTGCTAACGGATCAACAGATGAGCTATAGCAAATGAATGCTACAACCCATTCCTAACACCTTATGGGCAAACCCTCAAGGAAACAAGGTACTAACATAAGCTTAGCATAATGGACCACCATTGAGAATCCAGTCAAAGCTACTACAATGCTACTTCGTGCAAGTAGACTAGCTTCTCCATCAACCACTTTGGGGTTGATCATCATTTACCCAAGCAACTTCGTAAACACATTACTCATTATCACATGGATATGATATAAATCACAATGACTTGATCATCAATTGAGTAACGCAATGAGCAATGCCTATGTCATTACTTCAAACGTTTATGTGAGTATCAAATGCCAACTCGATTCGACAAAATGCAACATAAATGCCACACTCCACCAATAGAGGTTTACGACACCCAACACCACTAACTTTTGTTCACAACATGGACAAGCTCATGCCACTCTCTTTCCGACCAAACTCAAAACTAATCCAACACCAAGCTATTCAAGGAGCAATAGCAAGGTTCCCCGGAAAAGAATTGAGCATTGCAACCCAAGTCTTCCAATAGCGAGCCTAGACAAAATGGTTTAGTGTTTCACCACTATCCATCCCATAACTCACCATTGTAAAACTACCATCTCCAACATGCATCAAGATAGGGACTTATGATTGCATGATGTGAACACAAGCAATGAGTTAACACCTCGTTGCAAATCATCTCTCCAAGAAGAGAAGATGATTTACGTATTTGATCCTCCGTCCCCGATGACTCTCTTTTCGGTCTCATCTTTGACCAAACCTCAAACTTGCTTTTGCACTGCCTTCAGTTCAATCGAAGAAAAGTTTATAAGAGAGCATGGCAATGATTACTTGAACCAATAGACTATTCCCTATAGTCTTGATTGATCCAATCATAATCATGCCTAGGAAGGATCCACTAGTGCCGTGCTAAACAGCTATGGACCAGCCTATTTGCCACTCACAGCAAACCCAGGGAGGTTTGCTTTTCACCCATGGTACAAGGAACAACTCACGGAACCACTAGAACAACTTATGGAACCAATGATAGGCTAACATTAATCCTGCCAACTCAAAGTGTAACCTCGAGTTGCTAATGTGCCTCACTCACGAGCCCAAGCTCAAACTCGTGCAAATGGAACATCTCCAAACCATCCTATGAGCCCAAGCGCAAGCTCACATCATAAGGTACAACAAGGTAACCCAAAACCTATCTGTAAGCCACAAATTTTTCCTTTCCAATTTGCCAGCTTACCTCGCCTATCCGACCAACTCCGCCTTGGCTTGTGCTAAGTTCCCTCGCCAAGGTTCTCGCCTATGGTGCCAGCTCCTACTTGGTTTCAACTACTTACTGCACGAGCAACGGAGTGTTAGCCATCCATCTACGGATTCCCAAATCTTTCCCAATCCCCCTCCCCGGGTTAGACTGGACTTAAGGTTCGGCTACACTCCCCGCAGGCACAAGCAGCCAAGCACACCAAGCCTCCAGATTCCTAACACCCCAAGGTATCACAAGGCTTGATCATGGGACCCTCTAAATCCCAAGCCTTGGGTGCAGCACTTGCTTCGGGACGTCGGGGCGAAACACCGTGGCCTAACGGCCCGGTATGGGTACCTCTACCCCCCCTCTTCCATCCCGAAGGAAAGGCCCAAGCCCCCGGAAGGGCGAGGACCAATGAGCCACAAGGTACTCAAGTGGGGCACCACTCCACCTGAGCCGGGAGCACCGCAATCGGTTTCCCTTTCGGGAGTGGGAGCTGCTCTTGAGCACTTCCTTGGATGGCCCCTCCGGCACCAGCCAAGTCCATGCTCACTCCCACCCAAGGCCCCTCGGTCCCAGTCCCAACCTCAAGTCGGTTTGGAAGCCCAACTGGAGAGTCCCTTCTAAACTGGTTCCTGGACCTCACTATCCCTACTATACTTTTGGAACCCCCTGCAGCCCCCCCCCCCCTGGGAGACGCACGCTTTGGGCTTTCACCCCTTGACCCGTATTAGTATTTGGACTTAGTCTCTGGCTCGATCTCGGACCCGATTTCGGATCCGACTTCGGATTCGGGTTCGGACTCGATCACGGACTCGATCTCGGACCCGATCTCGGACCCGACCTCGGACTCGACCTCGGACTCGGTCTCGGACCCGATTTCGGATCCGGACTCCGTCTCGAACTCGGTCTCGAACTCGGACTCGAACTCGGTCCCCGAGTCGGTCTCGGATTCGATTCCGGACTCTATCTCGAACTCGGTCCTAGAGTCGGTCTTGGACTCGATCCTCGACTTGGTCCCATCCGATGAACTCTTTGTCACTTCGGTCAAGCTTTTGGGGATCCTTTAGCCTACGACATCTCGGGGAGTCGGTTCCTTACACTATCCCAAGGAACCAATTGCGAAGCCTTTGCACCCAAACGTGTACCCACTCGGATCATCGTTTTCATCTCTGCGTATGCAACAAGACTAGTTGCCCAATCTCATTGAATAGTACTCGTTGAGACTCATTCTCTGATACCAAATGTAGCGCACGTGGTTTTGACCCTTTATCCTATGGTGATTTACCATAGGATAACACCACGAAGCGGAACCTAAACCCTCTTTGTGCCACGTGACAGATGCCACGTGTCACATGCCACGTGTCCATGCCACGTATCCTTAGGAACCCAAGGTTCAGGGCCTTGGGCCACTGAACGAAGGAACGGTGCCAAACTCCCAAGCGTGACGCCAAGGAGTGGTGGAACCGGACCACGGAGCAACTCCCGAGCATATAGCCCAAGGAGCGAAGGGACAGGAGCCCGGAGCGACTTGGAACAGTCCTGGAGCAACCAGCATACCAATGCCAGGACCAGCACGCAAAACGGAGCCAAACGGAGTCTGGCGCTATTTCGGCATACCGGTGGCCTAATGTGAGGATATGGGTACTCCACCAGCTAGCATGGAATGGAACTTGGGCTTAGACCCAAGCCGGACGCAGAACAAGGACAGGCACGCAAGCGGGAGCTAGACTATGCCTCAGGTTGGTCGGCCATGCCCGACCTACCCACTATCCCTACTATACATTTGGAACCCCCCACAGCCCCCCCCCCCCTTGAGGAACACACGCTTTGGGCTTTCACCCCAAGCCTCCCTTAGTATCAGGAGTTAGTCTCTGGGACAAGCTCGAAACTTACTAAATATGGAATGTCCTTAGATTGCGAATTTGGACATGGGACAAACACCATTGTGTTCAGGCCGATCTCTACATTCCGTAGATATGCCAAATGAGCAAATCTGGACACTTTCCATAAATAGCATTTGGGACCGAAATGAGACTAACACAAAGGGCATGATAGCGAGGGTGTTTGGCAGACACGGTAAGCTATCATGTAGCGATATTGAGGGACCAATCTCAATACGCGAGGGTTCTTGTCACTAGCCAGTGCAAGACAAAACGAGACGGGAACTCCTTACCGGGCTAAGTATGCTTAGCTAATAACACGTAGGAATTCCGTCCTTATGCTCGTCCGGTCTAAGTACACTCGAAATGCCCAGTTAACTCCACTAGCACAAGAGGGACTGATAAAGGGTCCAGCAATACCGACCTCCTGCCATCGTGGCAGTAAGGTAAGAGTGTCCGTAAGGACTAGTCGACAGGTAACTTTCGATACCCGAAGTCACATGCGCGACAAGCGTCCTTGTATGCCATGTGAAATACATATGTTTGGACTTGCTTGCCATGCCACGTGGTGACAGTCACAACACATTCTTTGTGACTTATATCCTAGTTAATAACTAACTAATGACACAATTTGGCAAACACACCTTACATTGACAATTGTAAGTAGTATTTAAGGACCATACACTTATATGCTATGGAAAAATACTCAAAGTTTATATATTAAAACAGTGATCTTACAAAAATAAATGACTTGTAAGGAAAAAAACAAAAAGAGGGGGTCACTTGGACTTCCCGGGTGGTCACCCAGCCCAGTACTATTCAAGCCCAGGGACGCTTAACTTTGGAGGTCTGATGGGATCCAGTGCCATAGTCACGGTTTGAACCCACTCTGAAATATTTCACACTCCCCCTACTCTTATAGTGTGGGGCAGCTTGATCCAAAGCTGCAGCGTACCTCCACAATCCCGTGTTCTTTCTGGGCGCCAAAAAGCACGCCCGCGGGACATGTGGTACCTCCCCAACAATTCACGAAGACCGCGTTTTGGGGCCCAAAACGCGCGCTGCAAAATGTGGGGTACCTCCCCGACTTTTCGTGAAAAATCGCGTGTTTTGGGCCCCAAAAAAAGCCCGCAGAACACGTGGTACCCTTGCAACTTCTCGCAAAAAATCGCGCGTTTTGGGCCCCAAAACGCGCCCCGCGAAATGTGGGGTACCTCCCCGACTTTTCGTGAAAAATCACGCGTTTCGGGCCCCAAAAAAAGCCCGCGGAACACGTGGTACCTTTCCAACTTTTCGCGAAAAATCGCGCGTTTTGGGCCCCAGACATTCCGGGCCACTTTTTTTTCCCCCTCCCCCCCTTTTCCGTGCCACGTGGCAGGCGGGCAGGGCCTTCCCCCCCTCCCTCACGCACGCGCAGGCTGAAGCTCAGCCTGCGCCTTCTCCGTGCGCTTCGGGCCCGGGAGAGTCCTCCCCCCTGTGAGACACAAAATCCCTAGGCCCCAAAGTGGAGCCGGAAGGGCGCCACATGGTAGTGGCCGAAGCGAGAGCCAAACGAGCGTAACACATTTGGACCAAAAGCTCCGACTTGAAAAGTCAAGAGTGGGAGTGGAACTCCCAACGAAGTGCTCGAGGAACGAGCACGAAGCGAGCAAAAGGCGAGGCTCCAAAAAGGGACCCAAAAGGACCAACACATGATACGAGGGAGTGTCCGAGATGGACTCGAGTGGGAGTCCAAAGTGGAGTCCGAGATGGACTCGAGTTGGAGTCCGAAGTGGAGTCCGAGATGGACCCGAGTTGGAGTCCGAAGTGGAGTCCGAGGTGGACCCGAGATGGACCCGAGTTGGAGTCCGAAGTGGAGTCCGAGGTGGACCCGAGATGGACCCGAGTTGGAGTCCGAAGTGGAGTCCGAGGTGGACCCGAGATGGACCCGAGTTGGAGTCCGAAGTGGAGTCCGAGGTGGACCCGAGATGGACCCGAGTTGGAGTCCGAAGTGGAGTCCGAGATGGACCCGAGATGGAGTCCGAGATGGAGTCCGAGATGGACCCGAGATGGAGTCCGAGATGGAGTCCGAGATGGACCCGAGATGGACCCGAGATGGAGTCCGAGATGGAGTCCGAGATGGAGTCCGAGATGGAGTCCGAGATGGAGTCCGAAGTCGAGACCGAGACCGGGACCGAGACCGGGACCGAGACCGAGACCGAGACCGAGATCGGGACCGAGACCGAAGCCGAGGCCGAGACCGAGCCCGAGCCCGAGTCCGAGTCCGAATCCGAGTCCGAGTCCGAGTCCGAGTCCGAGTCCGAGTCCGAGTCCGAGTCCGAGTCCGGAGCCTGAGAGGGTGAAAGCCCAAAGCGTTCGTCTCCCAGACCCTGGGGGGTTTGGTGAGCCCCAAAAGTATAGTAGGGGGAGGACTGCAGTGGAGCCAGTTTGGCCAGGAAAGGCCAGTTTGGCCCAGGAAGGCCGGACCCAGTGTTGGGTGATGAGCTGCCCACTGGGAAGTCCAAGACTAGAGTGAACACGGACCGACAAGCGGGGTAGCTTGGTGAAGTGTTCAAGAGCCGGCTCTAGTTCCCCCGGGAGATCGACTGGCCGATGCTCCCAGTCCAAGTGTGGGTGGCACTACCTACTTGGATACCTGGTGTGGCTCAACGGAACCCGCTCTAAGCCCATGGCTAGAGCACCTAAAGGCGATAGGTGGGGAGAGTACCCAGGTGGCTCGCGTAAGGCCACGGTGTTCCGAAATGTTGTCCCAAAGGCCCAGACTGTGGAAAGGAAGAGGAGCAGTCCTCTGGGGTAGTGACCAAGGACACAGTCATGTGGTGAGGAAGTCCCAGAGGACCGTGGGACTTAGTGGTCGGGCCTGTGGGCCTCAACCCAGTGGCAGTGTTGGCAAACACGGCCAGGGGCAGAAAGGGACTTGGTAGGAACTGACAAAGGGACTTTGGGGAAGGCAATTCCCCAGGTCTGTGGGCATCCTAAGGATGCTAAGGAGTGGATCTAGGATGACCACTCGTGGACACATGGCCCAGTCTTGGAGAGACAAGGTGGTGATGCAAGTGGTGTTGAACCACTAGTGCAGCAAGGTGAATGGGCATGGCCTTAGCGTAACGGGCCGAGATGTCAGTGGTACCTTTGGGTGTCGGTCTCAGGACCGGACACGTGGAGCACTTGGACCAGGTGCAAGTGTGGAGTGGCATGGATGCCATTCTTGGGGCTAGCAAGTCCCAAGTCCTGAATTGGACTGATGGAGGTTGTGAATGAGACTCCTCCAAGTGGTCAGACATGTGGTTAAGTGACTAAAGTAAAATGGAAAATTTAGTCCCTTACAATTTGGTATCAGAGCTGTTCCTTAGTCCGACTTTTATTGGTGCTCAAGTATATCACCACTAGTGTTGGCATCGGAAGGTCCGAGGAGTGGGCCTATCCTTGAGGAGTAGCAAGTCGGGAAGACATGGCTCTCCATTACAGTTCATGTGTGAACTTGTAGACGAGGTGGTGGATAGAAAAGGGCCAATAATGGAACGACTTTGGGATCTTGGGAACAGTGCAAGGTTTTCCTCATTGAGTTGAGGATGTGATCCGGATGAGCATTTGTCTCAGCAAATTGGCTTAGGTTGTTGTGGTAAACAACTAAAGTTGGGATCACGGGAAAGATAGAGACTCCAAAACAATAAAGGAGTCACAAGATTATCCTCATATAGTTGAGGTTGGTGCTCATGAATGTGAGACCAAAGGTAATGACCGTGGAAGGTCAAATACGGAAGAGGACTCAAGTCCTTGAAATGGTAGCCGGGGCTACCTCTAATAAATGCTGGAACAACCCAAGGAGTTGGGGGTGTATTAAGTGGATGAGTTGGTATTCTCATCACATGGACAAGTAGTCCTAAGGGGCAAAGGTTGCCCCCAAAGAACAAAATCAAGTGTCGGAGTAACACTTGTGAAAATAGTCCTTTTGAGTAGGACCGGAATGCAAGATGTGTATTCCAGTGAGCTAGTGCCTCACAAGTAGGACCTTACGGGTCGGTGGATTAACCAAGTCCAAAACTGCTAGACGACTCAAGTAGAGTCAAGGGATGGTCCTAAAAAGGACTGAATGAAGCATTTGGACTGAGGTGCGTTGTACCCCACAAAGGATGGGGGGGGATCATAGGATCCAAGGATGAGAACAGAGAGTATCTCATCGATGGCAAAATGTGCCATGCTAAAGTTATAGGAAAGGTGTTCCTAGAAGAAAACAACTTTGACATAAAGTTGTGTGTGACCTCTATGGGGTAGTGCTAACAGATGGTTGGCATGAGAAAGAGCGGTGTTGGTCTTGGCAAAGACTTAGACACGAAGGGAAATGTCATAGAGGTAGGCTCGTGGAGCCGATGGTGTGGAGACACCAAATGTGCCAAGGTGTGATACCTTGAGGCTATGTTGGTGGGTTCATGAGAACCCCTTGCCAAAGGAATCCCAATGGAAATGGGAATGGCATAGCCTAAGCTGCAGAGCATGCAGTTGGAGTGTGGTGACCCAGATAGTGATGGAGGTGTGAAAGCACCAAGCAATGAGTTGTAGGACTTGACAACTATGAGGCAACTAAGCAAGAGGTGCAAAATAACTGGTTAAACGGGTAGAAGGTAGCTACCCAAGACTTCTAGTATAGGGAAGTCGGATATACCCTTACGGGGGATAAGTTGCTTATGTTGCGATATAGTAAGTCAATGTCATAAAAGGAAATACTCATTGTCAAGAAAGCCATCATTGGGACACCCGAACACTCTAGAACACCAGAAGGTGGTGTTTGATGTCGCGAGGGCAATGGATAAAGCCCAAGGGACTAAGTCCCTAGCGAATGATGGATAGAAGGTGCTATCCAAATGTCCAAGGTTGCGGAGATAGGAGAGGACTGTCTACCCAAGTTGGACAAAGCCAAAAATGGAATTTTGGCAAGGCTAGTGATGGGCATGTAAAGGCCCATAAGCAACAAGGTGACCCCAGTGTGTGGGATTATAAGCTGAGCATACCCGGATTGAGGAACCACTCCCTGGGCTATTGGGTAGGTTCATCCCTAAAAATACTTGCTAAGGCATGATAGAAAGTGCAAAGCTATCCTCCTGGTCTGGAGGAGAATGACCGAAGGAAAGGTGTGAAGCCAAAGGCAAGTAATGTTGGGATAGAACTGAACCATAGAAATCAAAGGGCATAACCAAGGTTGGTTATGCCAGCTGGGAGTGGAAAATCAAGTGGGGGCTCAAGGGTGTTGCCGCTAGCAACCGTGATGCCATGGAGAGTCTAAAATATGGAATTGTCCATGTTAGACTATATGGCATTTGGAAGGCTTGCAAAAAGGGAGGCCTTAGCAAGCTGAGGGATAGAGTTCCTTCAAGGTTCCCAAAGACGATTCTAGGTAGCGTAGTACCTAGAAAGGCCAAGTGTAAATGGTTCATGGAACGCGCGAAATCAGAGTGGCGCAGCAGAAGCGTGGACTTGAAGCTTGCCATGAGGCAAGGTTATCAAGGTTAGGGAAGTAGTTCCCGAGTGTTCAAAGAGAGGGCTTTGAACGAAAGTCGATGGTCAAGGACTTTCACGCTTATGCAGGAACCATGTTACAATGGTCGGAGAACTTGCCAAGTGAGATTGGCACGTCGGGGGAACAAAGACCCTAGTTGAAGGTGATAACTTCAAAAAGGGTGGGCCATGGGGCCGAGCATGGAGGAGTCCATGCATGATCACAGACATGTCAAGTGAGAGGACTTGGCAGTGTGGAGGAACTAGGTTCCTAAGCTGTGATCAGTAGCGCGCTTTAAAAATAGGTTGGTGCACCGGCGTGGGGAGTCACGCCAGGCATCTTGTGTGATGCCGTCCGTAGATGCATATACGGAGGTTGGGTTCGAGTCCCGACCCT